ATATATATATATATATATATATATATATATATGAGTAATTATCCTATATTTCCCGCCCCCACACCCCCACCCCCCCCACACACACACATATAAGCATATGATGATTCTAAGAAAAATAAGCATAACATCCATGCGCCTATTTCCAAGTATTCCAAACGAGAAATGGGAGACTTTGAAATAAAACATGTTCGAGATTTGAACCAGGAACAAGAAGCTTCATCATTTTTTTTTGGCCACTTTAGTCGCGCAAAATGAGAATGATCCACGCTTCTTCTGAGGTCTATATCCAATACAAGATACTTAAAAAAAATAAATTTTCAAGTTTAGAACCAAGAATAGCAACGGTATTGACATTTTTGGGTTGGTACACCATTTGGGTTGTGCAACTTTGAGTGGACCCAAATCATCGTACTTGCGAGTTGAAGATTCCAAATACAAATTCAGGAACTTTAATCAAGAAGTTGAGGAGGTTCTTGACTGAAATACTTGTTTAACTGAAATACAAGTATTCTATGGTAATGATAAACTGGTTGATTTCACTTTCGAGGTGGTTGAGGATTTTTAGTACTTTCACAACAAAAATGTTTGGGTATGACGGGCATCCTAGGGCTAAGAAAGCATCACTTTGTCTCACAATAACACCCAAACCACGAAAAAAGAAAAGAAAAAAAATGAACAAAAGAACACAAGAAAAAGCACCACCTCGCATGATAAAATTAATCAAGATAAATAAAACAAGCCAAAACTAAAGTATTCAAACTTGGAAGAATTGATTAACATATAATGGCTAAAGAGAATCAATAAATCCATTTTATAACTAATATCCCAATCGTTGTTAAGAGAAAAGAAGAGAAGCACACAACAAAGAACATATCTTCCTATTCAAAATTAGCCGACAAAATAAATGTTACATAAGCACATCATCATCGTCAAAGCTTTTTCCAACCTATTTGGGTACAGTTATACAAATCCTGGTCCTTCTGCTCTATAAAGGATCATACCTTCAATGAGATTATAAGTTCCTATATCTTTTCCCACTACTTCCAACCATGTCTTTTTGGGCCTATCCCTTGCCTTCTTTTAGTGTAAATTGACTAAGCACAAAATCCAAATTAATCTGATCCCTGTTTAAAGGGGACCAAGAATGGAAGAAACAAGAGAGATCCATTTGATTATATTTGCACCTAATTCACAATACGAGATAACCATTTCTTTTGTGGCTTCTTGACGCGTCTAAGATATGTTTCTTTCCCGCATCAGGGCCTCAATCTTTTCAACATCTGCCGGCGTGTCTATGCCATGAGCATCATGGTCGACCTTTATCACCTGCAACACAGTTGATTGTGCTCAGCATTCTTGCATATTGATCAGATATCCAGGAGAAGAAGGCTTTCTAGATTCAAAAGTGACCGTAAGTTGCCTTACTATATGCTCTATCAATGCAATCAGAACAATACCAAGTTGTGGCAGAAAACTGTGCACATAGCATCTGTGTGTGGGTCTGTCTCTGTGTGTGTGATAGAGAGAGAGAGAGAGAGAGAGAGAGGAGGAGAGAGTATAGTACGTGTAGTACTTCTACGACGTACTTAACGTTACCGTTTACGTTTTACCTTAACTAAACTAACGTAGGTAGGTAACGTACGGTACCTCGTACTAACTAC